AAGTTTTGAGAATAAAACAACAAATAAGACAAATTACATATAGCTTATGTTCTGTTATGGATATGCAAGCCTAAAATATATAAATAAATAAACTAGATAATCTAAGAAGTGATAACTGCTAAAAGGCAAGTAAAATATGATTTTTTCCATATAGGGAGACTAGTTGTAGGAAGATTTTGTGCTGAATAGACAAGAGTAGTATCTGTGATTATGAGCTCATTATTCAAACTGAGACTAGAAAAAACAGCATGTAAACCCATGTAGGCTTATCTTTATATTTGTCATTTTTTATATTATTTTTTAATTTTAGGTGGGTACAATATCTTTATTTATTTTTATGTGGTGCTGAGGATCAAACCCAATGCCCCACACATGCTAGGCGAGCACTCTACCACTTGAGCCACAACCCCAGCCCTGTCATGTTTTGTTTTTAATTGTTTCTTTCCCTTCCATTGTTATGCTCTGTGTCATCAACTATAGTTTTTATCCCCYTTTAAACAATTCATTCTATCCCTATCCATTTCTTCTTTCTCTTCAACCCTCCAACATTCAGAAATCTCAAAAACCTTGTTCTGCTCATTTGCCTCCTTTAAGTTACTGCTTTAAGTATATTTTTCTCTGGTTCCTATTCTTTGTCCATTTCTCTTAATAACACTTTTTTTCTCATATCATGATCTATTGAAGCTACTAAGACAAAAGTCAACAACAATTGAGAATTGCCAAAACTAGAATTTAGTTCAATTATCATATTAAGTTCTCTCAGGTAAAACTAGTCATTTTAGATCATTTAAATGACTAAATTTCAGTGACTCACTGAAATTCCCTTAAGTGTGGTCCAGAGTCCTTTTTTGTTTGCTGTACTTTACTTTTTTTTTTTTTATCACTCCAGTGTTCTTTATTTATGCAATTCTGTTTTCTCTGCCAATACTTCTGTTTTCGCATGGCTTTGTTCTTTATTGTTTTTCCCTCCTGCTCTGGCCCCTATGCAAAAATACATCTAGTATAATTGTTCATACTACCCCATGGTGAGAAAGCTAAAGAGGCTCTCACTTCAGGTTTCTTTCCTTGATATACTATTTTCCAAATAAAGTTATGGATACTTTACACTATGTGAAAATTCTAATTCAGCTTTCTATTGGAAATACATTTTCTTCTTTTGTGTATCTAGGTTAATTATATCAATGGAACAACAACAAAATGTTATTAATCTTTACTTCAGAATCAACCTATATATTAAGCATGAATTAAAATTATTGAGAATATAAATCTAACCAATCCCAGAAATATAAGAAGAAGTGAATAGAATTTGTGTTGTAAATGAGACATAGAATATCAGGTAGAAGGCAGAAGAAAGGGCAAAGGTGAACATTTCATCATACATAATGGGAAGTTTCATCATAACTAATAAATATCAAAATAAATTATTAATAAAATAATATCAAGGATCATATATACAATAAAAAACATGAAGGTGCCAAACAATCAAGAATTCGAAGGAGGGGAGAAGCAAGTATAAAAAGCCATTTAAGTRATCTAAATCATCACCTGTAGAAAAAGTCAGTAATTATATGTAAGAGCAAAAAGTACATCGAATTTTTCTACCATTTTACTTCTTTTTCTCTGATCATTTTCTTCTTTATCTCACAGTCATTCTCTTTATTTCATGGTTATTTCTGATTTTCTTTAATGTCATTTATTAACTTTTTTGAGTTTATTTCCTTTTGAACATTTGGTCACTTTTTTGATTCTTTTACTCTTTATCTTTTTTCATTAGTTTTTTCTTTCTTTTTTCCCACATTTTTGTTGTTATTGTTAGTGATGGTGGTTAATTCTAATTCCCCCCAAAGATTTATCAAATCATTGTTTCCTGTTTTGGGTTAATTTCTCTTGATTTTCATGTTCTGAGTCTAGATTTAGAGACATCAAATATATATGCATATAATKCCAATTATTTACTTTTTGAAATTTATTTCAGTTAGAGGCATAATAGTATACTTTTACTTTTTCTGGTTTTTATTTGTTTTTAGAGGGAGGGGTTTCATCAGCGGAGCTGTTTTGATTCCCACTTTATCTTCTTATAATAACATTGCATATAGTGAGTATTGGGCATGGTTTCTACTCAAAGAACATTCTCTTTCTTCAGTATTATGAAGTACACTTTTTCGTAATGGATAATGCTCTTAGTAATGGTGATAGAGGAGGAAAAGTGGCATCTTCTATAATTCTCTTTTATTTCTCTGGGATCCTTGCTATTTCTCAAAACCTGGAATACTTCTAGTGCTACCTCCCCAAGATTTTCTTTTCCATCCAAAGTGAAAATGATCTAAAGCTCCCAATTCTAAACCCACTGAATTTTAATCTCTTCCCTCTAATCTGTGTTATAAAATGCCAAGTCCCAGATATGTGTTCAGAATTTTTTCACTTAACATCAGGTGTTCTTGTTTTGATTCAATTTTTTCTGTGTTATATCTATTGTTTTTTTTACAAATCTCTTCTCCATGGAATGTTTTAATCATTGTAGTTTCTGCCCTCTAGAAACACAGGGTCATGACAATGGCAGAGTACCAGCATTAACTATTGGAATTTGGTATATATATCACATAAGATAATTTAAAACTCACATATTCTCTGTATCTCAGAAAGTTTGAATGCTGGCTTCATATAATGTTTTTTTGTGCTCTAATTTGCTCTTAACTTTCAGTAAAGTTTGTATGGTGTGATTTAATTTATACAATAGTCATTATCCTTGAGCCAGTATAAAACTTCATTTTTAAAAAATGAATACATATTTATCACATAATATCAATACATTTTTAAAATAATAGAGCAATTAAAACAGAAGACTAAACTGTAATTAAATTATCCAAAATCCACCTACTAAAACATGATTTTTATTTAATACCATTGAGTATTTTATTAATTTTATTTCCTATATAAAGGCATATTTATACCTATGTTATATATATATATATATGTACATTATATATATATATATATATATAATCTATGCATTTATATTTGAGAAAATTAGGGACGCAAACAGAAAGAGAAAAGGAAACATGAAGAGAGTCAGAGAGAGACCAAGAGATTGTTTAGAATCTTTGCAAAAACTGAAACAGGTCAAAACTGAATTATTCTGTATATGAAAAAGAATGAGAGGACATTTGGCAGCTATAGAACTATGGTTGAAAAAAAAGTGTAAAGACTTTAAGAAGGAAAAATATAAACTGATATCTCAAAGGACTTCTTTATGAAATTCTATGTATAATAACATTATATATTTATATATAATATTAAAAAAGTTATATATATATATATATATGGTTGAAAAAAAAGTGTAAAGACTTTAAGAAGGAAAAATATAAACTGATATCTCAAAGGACTTCTTTATGAAATTCTATGTATAATAACATTATATATTTATATATAATATTAAAAAAGTTATATATGTATATATATATAACTTTCCAATTAGATGTGCAGGGAAATCTCTTCACTGCCATTATTTTTGAAAAGTGGATTTTCTTTCAAGGGACTACAAGTAGGTTTGAGTTATGTCATGAATAATTTTGGTCACATACAAAACAAAGAAGAAACACTCATAGGAAAACARCCATATATACATATTATACTAAAAAATTAGATTAGACTACTTTTTCGCTTTTCATTAAAAACATTTTTAAAATATCTTGGCTTTATTTTCAGTGGATTCTTTTTCATATAGCAACACGTCATTAATTTAAACAGTCCAATTTACCTAATATTTTGAATAATTCTGCAGTTACTCTTAAACTAATATATCTTACTTCAGATTATTTATTTGGGATAGAATCTCTGAAGTACATATAGATTACAACATAAATGATGCTGATGTAAACTGTTTACAAAGGTTTTTAGTTCATACATATTGCTAAATTATGTGTATACTACTTCAGGCTTTTGCTACCACACTCTGTACCTTGCCTATTTTCAAAGTTCTCCAAATTTTTAATCTAAAAATTATTTGATATTAAATGTTAAGGCTAAATATTTTTCAAATATTTATTAGTCATATCTTTTATGGGTGAAAATCGGTGAATTATGTAATTACATTTCATCCTGGATTAGGAAATTCATTTCTTATTTGTAATACTAATAGTCTTTATATACAAATGACAWCACACATTTTTATTCTTTCTTGCAAATACTTACCAAGTTATCTTCTTAAATGTTAATATTGTTTAGGAAGTTTTATTGGTACTTAGAATTTTAAAATAGATCAATTTAATAATTCTTTATGAATTCTTTCTTTTTAATGCTTAGAAAATTTAACTGAATCTTAATATCAAATACTTTGTACATTTTCTCTATTAATTATGATTTTAATTTTAGATTTAGCCCATTATTCCATCTGAAAGCAATTTTCGTGTATAGTGTATGGTAATATAAATGGACAGTTTTCTATTTGTACTAGGTCTGCTGCAGGGTATTCTATTCTGTGACTTTTATAATAACTCTAAGACTACTTAAGTAAATTTCTRTAATTTTATATACTTTAGTAATTGATAGGGCTTTCACTATATAGTTCATTTATCATTTATTAGCTCTCTGAAATGCCTTTTTATAATTATAACCAACATTTTATTTCTCTGGAATGCAACAAAACATATGATTTTTTTCTCTGCTATCATTAAGTCACTGTAGTTTTAAATATATGTAGTTACTATCTCAGCAGCAAAGGATACCACTAATCCTGATGTTAACCTGGGAAAATCTCTGAGGAAGCCGAAAGTGACAGAGTATAAAGTGGTATCTAAATTCTTTGTCACTTTATGAGAAACTCTGCCATATTTACTTTTCACAACCTCTAGAATTATACACCCTCAACTTTGTTTTATATTATTTATATTTTCACTACCACTCAATTTTGGCATCTGCCACTCAGAGAAATTTGAAGTTTCAGTAATGTGACAAATGTTTCTACCCAATAGCAATATTATATATAATTTCAACATAATTACCTCGTGAAGTCTGTCATCTCCATCATGATCATACACATCTTCTTGGCGAGAACAATGATATCATTGCTTGTATCATCCCATATTTCAATTTCAGCATCAAGCTTACTCTTTACTTTCTTGAAATCAGCAACTTGCTCAGCAATCTTTTCCTTTTCTGCCTCAGGAAGTTGAGTCATCTTTGCCTAAAACATGTGATAATTAGATTTAAAATCATTCCACTATGAAGAAAGCATTTTAGGAAAAATTTGTTATTATAGGGTATTCACACAACCTAGTCATTTAAAATCAGAGACACTCAGATTTTAAATCATTTAGTCAAAACTTTCTTGGTTTATTTTTTCAAAGAAGAAATCTATTGTTATAATTATTTGCTCTAGAACAATTATATATATATATATATATATATATATATATATATATAAAATATATATAAATTGTAATGTATGTCTTGATGTCTGGCAAATTTAAATCTTCCTTAAAATTAATCTGGAATTTTCTAATTTCTACTGGTGTCAAAATTTTAAGTTCATTCAAATGTAATATCATTCATCATATTTGTTAGAATATATTCTAATTATACTAATGATACATTTCAAAAGGTAGAAACATAATAGAACTTAACCTGTAATCAAACTGTGTCTGTCTCTGTATATTTATATATAAATATAGCTAGATAAATTTTATAGGACCATTGAATATAAATTAGTAAATAATAACAGTATAAATTTATAAATTATGTCTATAAAAATGAGCACACAGGTAAAATCATAAGGATGTCTGTATATTTTATACATATAAATATATTCAGGTGTATACATATATATATATGAATATATATATGTATATATGGATACATGTGTGTGTGTGTGTGTGTGTGTGTGTGTGTGTGTATACACAGACCATTATATGAAAAGAATAAAAACACTATGGGCAAGATTTATTAATGTAACCCTCCCAAATTTGTATACTGCCTACTGAGATATTATTATCCTTTCCTGAGTAAACTTACTCTGTCTAGCATGATATCATCTTTTGGATATGTTGTATTCTTAATGTATGCAAACTGCATCTTCCTTTTGCAATTTGCAATGTAGGATAGGTTAAAAAATATCTATATTACTAAACTACCATATTTAAAAACTCATCACCTAGAATATTACTTTTGTTGAATAAAAAAGAATCCTGCCAGGTATGGTGGTGCAGACCTGTAATCACAGTGGCTCAGGTAACTGAAGTAGGAGGATTGCAAGTTCAAAGCTACCCTCAGCAACTTAGCCAGACCCTAAGCAACTAAATGAGAATGTATTTGAAAATAAAAAAGGACTGGGGATGTGGCTTAGTGGTTAAGTGTCTCTGCATTCAATTCCTGCTACTAATAAAATAAAAAAATTAAATTTAAAAAATTTTTGAAGTATAAATCATCTGATAATATGAAGAACATAAAACTTCATGAGACTGTCCATGCAATTATATCATCAAAAAGGAATGTCAGGGCTGGACATGTAGCTCAATAGTATGGAGCTTGCCTAATATGTGCAAGACCCTGTGTTCAATAACCAGCACCACAAACTAGCAAACAAAAAGGAATTTTAGATATATTATTGTAGTATAATGAATGTACAGAGTTCTAAGGAAGAACATTTTGAAAATGATGAATCATGTTAGTAGAACTTGTTTATTAGATGATTCACATCTTCATATTTTAGATGCTGGTGTTTCAGACACCTACARATGGAAAAATAAGGAAAAATCACAAAAAAAAACTTTGCAATACTCTGGATACTAGGTACAATATAATGAAAACATACTTTATGGAATCAATAGTATGCAATGGCAAAAGAGCTTACCTATATGAACGAAAGGAATTAAAAGCATAGTCAATGAAATTCAAATAATAAAGATCAAAAATCAGTATCAATTGTCATTTATTATCAATTTATTATGAGCCTAACTTGATGTCTATGAAAATCTCAGGATTAATTAATCATGCCTTAATTCTAACATAGGCCTTTTCCTTTAAATTTCTTACCTTAATGTTTGAGACATATTAAATCTTCCATAAATGATAACTCTTTTGTTCAATATATTTTGTCAAAATATATTTACATGTCTAGCACTTAAATTTGCTTTCATTTTATTATTTGTTTTTCTTTGAAGAATCAAAATAAGCTTCATGAGACACAGTTTTTAATTAATGAGCTTTACAAGATCTCTTCTTTAGCATCTGAAAGTACTTGGTGCTGTTTTTCTCACAGGAAATGTACCCTATGCAATGTGTTAAAAGAACAGTAACTTTTACTACCACTGGCATATGGCAAGGCACATAAATGAAGACACAGCTCAGTACTTTCAAAATCAAAAGTAATATGCAAGCATGTTAAGTAAATTATAAGCTATCAACCCATTAAACTACCTCCAATGTAGAAATGAGTTTTCCTCCATCTTGACTACTGGTCATTATCATTTTCTGCATTCTCATATAAAGTGTTCAAACATTCAAAAATACCTAGCTATGGAGAGCTGGGCTATTTTGCACTCTAAGGGATAATAAATCTGTAATGCTAAATCTAATAAATAATTTTGAGGTATACAATGGCATATTATGGAAAATAATTCACTAGTCTCATAATAAAAGTAAAAACTACTCAAGAAGAGGTCTGGTTAAGTATATTTCAAGTTCTGTTCCTTGKGATGCCACTGATTTCCTATATGACCTTGAGGAAGTCACTTAATCCTCCTGTTTAAGTTTTCCCAGATACAAAATGACAATAATTGCATCTGCTACCTACCTGCCATGTAGGGAGCAGAGTTGATTATTGGATAACATTGAGACTGACCCTGTCACGGACAGGGAATTCATTGGTTGCACTCGATTTCCTTAATAGCATTCCAACTCACTTGGTGAATTACAATCAGTAGACTTTTATCTCTGATAGATAAGGGTCAAAAGTTGGGCAGTAGTTTGTGAAATTAAAAGTTCTAGAGAATTCTAGTCTTTTTTTTTTTTTTTACTGTGGAACAACAACAATGAAACATTAAATTACTGACACCTTTACTGAAGGTTTTAAGTGTTTCCATGAATAATTTATTAAGTGCTATCAATTTCAATCACTTAGAAATTTTCAAAATAAGACTAAAGAGAATAACTGATATTTGCGGATTYTGGGTGAAATTCCTTGATTGAATTATTTTGTGCATGATAAGAAAAGAAACGGAGGGACAAAGCCAAAGACAAATCAGTTTTAGTAGAATCTCTGGCATCTGTGCCCAGGTGKCTCTGTATCTGTACTCCCGCTCAGAATTCTGATATGTATTAGCTGTCAAAGGGTTTGTGAATCATTGCCTTTTGAATGAAATTGTATTGTGTGTCTATTAAATTTCAAATCTGTTTCGAGAAACAATGAAAATAGAAATACATATACATTCCAGACACTCCCTAGGTACCAAATATCTATTTCACTTTCAATAATCACAGCAGCCTTATGAGGTAGGTGTCATAATTATTTCCATTTTATCAATGGGAAAATTGTCTCCAAAAGATTAACCAATTCAATGAATATTATGTTACTCAATGGTTGAACCAGGCTGCAAACCAGAAAATCTTGGTAAGAAGTCTTGTTCTATCATCATAACAACAAAACCTGAGGAATATTGTCCTCCATATACAAAAATATCCACATCTTCCTTGATGATATTTCTCTATCATTTTTCATCTTAAATGCAGTTGTTCTGCAAAACATAATAATTTATTTTGAGAAACAAATTTTCCTCATCTGTCATAAAATCTCCAGCTCTGATCTCTTTTCCTGAGTCAATACAATACTACAAATAACCTGATCACAGAATGATGAAAATCAAACTCAGTCTAACAATATAACCTCTTGATTTTTATACTTCTTAGAGAGAATTCTTCTACTCAATCTTAAAATTTCATTTTAAAGCCAGGTACTGTGACACATACCCATAATCTCAGCAGCTCAGGGAGCTGAGGCAGGAGGAACACAAGTTCAAAGCCAGCCTCAGAAATGGCAGGTCACTAAGCAACTCAGTGAGACCCTGTCTCTAAATAAAATACAAAACAGGGCTGGGGATGTATCTCAGTAGTCAAGTGCTCCTGAGTTCAATCCCTCCCCCAAAAAATTCATTAAAAAATCCCCCTTTATTTATGCCATTATGATAGGGGCAGATTTTGTTACTTTCATTGTGTCTATCTCCTTCTTTGTCCATTTTTACTTTCCAAGTTCTCACCTTAATTTCCTCTATGATTCTCAATCCCTTTGCCTTGTTATTGCTTAATTCTGTCTTTCTGAATTTGATGGAAATGGCCAATTCTTCAGCTACAATGTTCATCCATGTCTTTTACCAAATAAAGAATATCAAGTCCTCAAACATAACTATTATATAATCTTACGGTAGAAAATTCATATGGAAAAATGACCAAAACATAAATATACAGTTGGAACTATTTTCACAAACTGAGCAAATCCTAACACCCAAATCAAAAAAAAAAAAAAAGATAAAAAGACAATTCGCAAAAAATGAACCTCCTTCTCTCTTCTTTCAGTTAAGTATCTCCTAAGAATAATAATTACCTTGATTTCCAAAACTAAGGATTTTCTGATATTTGCAACCTTATAAAACTGGGGTCATAGCACATGTACTCTTGTATGTTCCCTTCTATGTTCATCATTTATATATTTGACATTCAACTCTACTGTTGCATGAGCAATAAGAATAAGCAGGATATAACTATACACAACAATACACTGCCATACGATACAGTTAGATTCTACTTATCCTTATGACTCTTTGCAGATTTTTTTATGCTACAGAATATAACATATATCTGGCTGTATTTTATTTTCTATAAATGATCTTGTGGAAACTATTACATTTTGGCTGTTATGAACAGTACAAATTCCTGGACTATATGGGTGTATTTCTCTTGAATCTATACTTAGGAGTAGAATTACAATGTCCCAGGGATTACCATAAATTTTGATCTCTGCCAGTTTTTAAATCTCATTTTATTTTATTCTGTTTCATGCTTTGTATCATCCATCCTCCAACTAAACTAAAATGTTGGCTAATGCTGGTAAATATCTTGAGATACAGCCTGATAATTAATTTGCACATCTTTTTCCCTTTCTTTCATCTCTGGTTCAAATTCTACACTTAAAGG